ACCCTGAAGTAACCCGTTCCGGTACTGCCGGGTTCGGCGTGGTGCGCAACCCGAAATCGCACAAGCCGAAGCGTCTGTAACCCGAGGTATGACTGTACTTAGAAATAAGAGGAAAAGACAATGCACTACACAGCCACACATAACTGCATGCTTAAATTTTAAGAAATGAGCCTTAAGGGAAATGGCAGAAAGTACTACAATTAAATATACCTGTTTCATTTGTATCCCCCAATAATGTTTCTGGCATCATTTGCATATACTGCTGTGTCAATTGTACCCTTCCCAGACTTTTCGGCTTATTTGCATGTCTAGATAAGCACATTTTAGGCTGACAAATAAGAAAGTTAATCCTTATTTGCATTTGTTGAGCTAGGAAACACTTTAATGTTGCTCAAACTTCTATAAATAAAGAATGCTTGATTCAGATCATCATATTTTAATTTGGGAGGGCTCTCTATTGAATACTCTGAGTTTCTCATTAGTATTCCCCGCCCCCACTCTTCCTCTTCATTTGAGTTATATACTTATGATGATTGCTATCTTTTTTATTTACTTAATAGGGATTATTCTCTTCCCAATCCCACCCACTATCCCAATCAGGTTCCAACACACTGTGTTGTCATAATGAATCATGCAAGTGGAACTCAGGTACTAGACTGTAAATTAGGGATTTAGTGTATCTCCGAAGCACAAGTGTGCAACACAGCTGAGTCTGTTCAATATCAACAAGACAGGTTACTGTTAAAGGATCTTTGTTTATTTTCTTATTTACTTGTTTCATAAAATTTAGATACTGCTTGATTGTAAAAAAAAACCTCAAAGAAGAATTTTAACCACTATATTTGCCAATTATATTTTTGCCACCACGGCAGGGGTGCCATTTGGATTTTCTGCCTCTTGGGCCACAAATTCTGAGATGGGTTTTACAATGGACCTCTGCTATTGGTCTTCTTGGATGTTTCAAGCACAATGTCTTCTAAAGACTTTTCGGTGGTGGGTTTTCTGCAGAATCTGATAGGCTGAAGGATAATATTTTCGCTCACTTTTTCACATTTGAACAGTAAAGGATATAACGTGCATTTCTTAAATGGTTTCTCTTTCAACTCATTCAAGTCCTATTAGTGTCAGTTCAGCAAAACTGTTATGCTGACCAACCCTAAGCATGGCTACTCAGAACTAAGTATGTCTTAGGGGCAGATGGGGCCCATCAATCTGGGAAGGCAGCCCATCTAGGAGAAAGAAAACTCTGATCCTAAACCTCTGCTGTCTTGTGGGACATCTTGGGGAGGAGAAAAGGCTAAGGAGTAAACCCTGAACAAATCTGGAGTGGAGACCCTAAGGTAAGGTTACCAGATTTTTTTCAATGAATCCAGTGACACTTTTCAACTTCAATGGATTTTGTATGGGGACTGATGTGTAAATCCGGGGACTTACCCCAGGAGACGGGAACATCTGGTAACCTTACGGTGGTTGGATGGCATCTTTTCTGCCTCCTTCTGGCAACTCTTGCAGCTGAGCTGGTGTCAAATGCATTGCTCTGCTTCCCTTTGGATCACATCAGTGAAGCCGGTGGTCTTTTTGTCTGGGCAGCCCAAGACCTCCCTACACGCTGCCCAGGACTGCGCCCCAGGAAGGTCACTTCAGATTTAATATGTTTCCCTCGATGATAGTAAGAGGAAGATATTTAGCTCTCCCAGAAGCAGAGCGTCTCTGCAAATGTAGTAAACAGGAACCAGATACTTTGGAGCATATTTTCTTTTCTTGTGATTTTGGCATTTATGCCAGAAGACAATTATTAGAGGCCTTACAACTCAACAGGCTCAATTCTATGCCCCCAAGGGTTCAGGACCTGCTCTTGGACAGGAATGATCAAATTACTTTAATAGTGGCTGAATTTTTAAGTGCTGTCCATGTAGAAAGACTAGGCCATTATAAAGAGATTTAGTGGTTCTTAATTGATCGGTGATGTGGTAGTGTTATATTGTATTATTTATGCAAATTGGTTTTCTCTGGAGTTAAAGATCTGACTGGGACAAACCTTGTTATGCTGAACTCGTATTTTGCACAATTTGTATATGGTGTTTGTTTGATAATGTGTGGTTTGCTATGCCTAATAAAGGATTGACTTTTACTGCTAACGCAGCAGTTTCACTTCACCCCCGAAGGCGCACTCCCAAGACAGACAGATGCCACCAATGGCTATCCCTTAAGCTGCCTAGGAAACAGGTTGCCACTCCTGTCTGCCCCCTCCTCATGTACATCTCTTGCTTCCTCTCACTACTCCTTCCTCCTCTGCATCCCAGGACCATCCTCATTCCTCACTGGAATTCTGTGAAGAAGGACACTGTGACTTTGGGCTCTTTTGCACTTCCCCTTGTCTCACGATAGCTATACCTTTCGCCCTGCTCTTCCCGAGCATGTTATGTTGCCCTGAAGCCTTCCCCGGGGAAAAAAATTAGAGCAATAAGGGCAAACACCAATTTGGGTTTTTCCACAGATTGGCGTTTGGTCCAACTGAGCGCTAAAGAGTGGGGTTTCGCAAGGAAATCTGGAGGGCACAAAAAGGGTGCTGAGACCCGGAGAATTAAAGAGTGGACTGGAAAGGAAGACCTTAGCTACTGCTGTGGATGGGTCATCTAATAGCACTCTGAAGAGCCCTGTTGGAGCATTGCTGGTTGCTCTTCTCCAGCATGTCATGTCTGGGTGGTAGCAGTTGGGAAGTAAACAGCCCATCTCCAGTGCCACAGTTAAGCAGTCAATGCAACAGGCAGGCAAGTAGCTGGAAGGCCAAGATGGTTCGCATTGTCAGCAGGCAGCCCCATGGGTAACAAATGGTGGTGCAGTCAGGTAGGTAGCCGTGTTGGTCTGACGCAGTCAAAATAAATTAAAAAATTAGAAAACTGCCTAGTAGCACCTTAAAGGTAAAGGTAAAGGACCCCTGACAGTCAAGTCCAGTCGCAGACGACTCTGGGGTTGCGGCACTCATCTCACTTTACTGGTCGAGGGAGCCGGCGTTTGTCCACAGACAGTTTTTTTTTTTTTTTAAATCATATTTATTAAAGTTTCCAAAAATATAAAAATACAAAGAAAAAAAGAAAAAGAAAAAAAGATATTTAAAAACCTTACTTTCATTGCCTACTTTCTGGGACTCCCCCTCCCCCGACTGTATTCCCTTTCCTTAATTTAGTTCTACAAGCTCTCACTCCCAATTTGAAGCTTAATTTGTTTAACCCACTATCCAAATTGAATTGTACAAATCTTACCACCGTCCCACATCATTAACAAGAAAAGAAAAAAGATTTTCCCCAAGATCCACCCCAGTTCCTTCCACGAATTCCCTTTTTTTAAACACGTCCAATCAAAATAAAATGACATACGTAAATTATGTAAAAAAAATAAAAAATAAAAGATATAGAAAAATTCAAAAGATGGTTACACAGCCTTTGGATTTCAAATCTCCCCCCCCCTTCCCCGGTTTGAATTCCCCATATCCATCAGTCTGTGCATTATCAGCTTGGAAGTCTCAATTCATGACAAAATTTCCCCCGATTCCATCTTGCCGGTTTTCTTTTAATTTATTAATAATATGTAACTTCAAGTGTCCAATCTAACAAAGGCCTTTAATTTCCTTGATCTTTACCACTCCTCCCGTTGTTCTTTCCGTGTCGTAATCAGTCCTTTGTTCTTCTTTTCCTCACTTTCTCAGGTTTCTTGTCCTGTTCAGCTGCTAAAACTTTCTAATTCAGAAATCTGATATCTCTGCAGAGGTTTGTTATTCAGGAACAAAACTTACGTCCAGTCCCTTCCTTTCTTCAATAGAAAATTCTATTGTCTCCTTTAATGTAAATACCTCTGTAGACAAAATACTATTTCAGTTTTGCAGCTTTCCCAAAAGATAACAAGTCCTGTGCGAATCCCAGAGTATTTTTCCACTTACGACCGTTCTTGTAATATCCCGAAACCCCTCTAGGGGATTGTAATAACTTTGCATCCTCTAATCCAAAAGTCAAATTGTTGCTTATTTTCCAACAGTTTATATCCATATTGTAGCAAATTGTAGCAAAATTAACCGGCAAAGTCCTCATAACAAAGTCCTCTTTATATTCTCCAACTTTGACAGCCACTTTGACAGCTGTCAAAGTCTCCGTCTCTCTTCACCAGGCTCCACGAATCGCCCCGGTTCCCGGGGGGGGGGGTTGCATTTTTCTTCTCACCCTCCACTCTTCTCCTCCAGCACAGTTCTTATAATTTCCCATCGTGAAATTAATGGTTTTTATCAAGAATATACTTCCCTTTGGACCTTGGTTACCCAGTCCTTGTTTTGGAATGCTTACAGTAGGGGGGGGGGATTGACTTCCTTTTAAATCGCCCCGCTCGTGCCAAATCCGAAATTTTGAACCCGGTTTCCCAATTACTCACGGGTTGTTGTTAATAGTCCAAATTTTCAATGGAAGAAGTCAGCGCTCTCCGTCGAATGGCATGCGGCTGCGCTCGGCAGGGAAAGCAGAAGACTCAAGCACCACGCCGCTCCCCGGCACCCGATCCGAAGCCTTTAAAAAGGCTCCTTCACGAGTCGGGAGGGCGCTAATGGTGCAAGCCGAGTCACCCATGTCCACGGACTCCGTGCCCGTGGTTTTTAAGGGTCCCCGCGTCGCCGGCGCGGTAGGACCCAGCCCCTGCCGAGCAGACTCCCTCCGGAGCTCGGAGGGAGTCCGCCATTCGGCGATGGCGCCAACCCGGAAGTCTCCAGTTTTTCCGGGTCATGTGGCCAGCATGTCTAAGCTGCTTCTGGCAAACCAGAGCAGCGCATGGAAACGCCGTTTACCTTCCCGTTGGAGCGGTACCTATTTATCTACTTGCACTTGACGTGCTCTCGAACTGCTAGGTTGGCAGGAGCTGGGACCGAGCAAAGGGAGCTCACCCCATTGCGGGGATTCGAACCGCTGACCTTCTGATCGGCAAGCCCAAGAGGCTCAGTGGTTTAGACCACATACCTTAGAGACCAACTAAGTTTGTTCTGGGTATAAGCTTTCTGCAGAAGCGTGCATGCACATGAAAGCTTATACCCAGAACAAACTTAGTTGGTCTCTAAGGTGCTACTGAACAATTTTCTAGTTTTTTATTTATTTATTTTGGTGGTGCAGTTAGTTTGTATCTGCTGCTTTAGCCCCCGAGCCAGCCTTCCTTCTCAGGTGAGAGAGCCATATATCTAGGTGGGGCATTTATTTGGTGTCAGGCACATGCCAAAAGTTGTAAAGCAAACCAAATAGTTCATGCTATACCTAAGACAAAAAAGTCTTTTAAATCTTTTATCACAGCACCAATACTCTATCAGTGTGTATCCATGTATGTGTGTAATGTGCGTGCGTGTACAAAAAAATTGAGTAGTTGGAGAGAAGACTGTCACCTGGACAAACTCAAAAATGTCATATTTGCCAGGACATACATCCAAAGTAAAATTAAACATATGCAAAAGTTTAATCACAATCCACTGGGAAGGCTTCTTGCACAAGCTTCAGTAAAATGAATACCCTATAGCAGGGATGCCCATTCGGTCGATCACGATCAACAACTTTGGCTGATTCTCCCCCGAGAAAGCTCAACAACTTTGATGACGCTTCCCCCAAAAGAGCTCAATTAATTAGTCTCCCAATTAAAAGTTTTAGTTGAAGAATCTAACTATGTGGTCAAAGCACAGAATTACATAATCACTACTGCCGTGAAAGACAAAAGTCAAAGAGGTTTAAAAGACAAAATATAATGAGTGGCTTACACAGCTCTTATAAAGATTAAACAATCGTTAATTAATTAACTGTCATCTGGGTAGTTTGAACCAATTAAGGTTTTGCCATTGGAGGAACCTCTAACATGGCTGCCCTCCGTGAACCTATTCCACCTGCAACACATAATTCTGAACGTATTTTGGAAGCCTGAACTCTGTAAGAGATGGAGCTCAGTTCTTTTCACGTAGAAAGGGTCAGTCTCTTGTCAATGAACAGGTCCCTTTTGACTTCAACGGTTTCAAATTAATTGTCTCTACATGGTTCCCTGTCTACGTGCTATAGAATAATTAGTCAGATTTAGAAAGACAGGCTGTCACGTTACGGAAATACTTTCCCTGTTGATAATAGTTTGCCAGCGAGCTTTTCAGTTTATTTTTTTAATATAATATTTATTGGTTTTACAAAGATTCCAAAACATACAAAAATACAAGATTTCAAAGACAAAAAAACAATAACAGTAACAAAAGGAAAACAAAAAATAACAATAACCATAAAAAAGAAAGACAAAAAAGAAAAAAAAAAGAAACAGAAAAATTTAAAAATTTATACTTTCATTTAACCTTCTTATCTTTCCTTGGTTCTTTGACTTCCCCGCACCTCCCCACTTGTATTTCCTTTTAGAAACTCCTTTCAGCAAATCCTTACCCTCCTTCCTTTATCTTAACTCAAGAAACTTAATCTATTTATATATAGATATTTTTACAACCTTATCAATCAAATATTCCATGCTCTTAAACGCAAGGCTTTTGCCAATACCAGTTATTTTCAATCAGACCTCAATTTAACATTCATTAATTTTATAGTATTTCTGTAGATAGTCTTTAAATTTCTTCCAATCTTCTTCCACCGACTCTTCTCCCTGGTCACGGATTCTGCCAGTCATTTCCGCCAATTCCATATAATCGATTACCTTCATCTGCCATTCTTCCAGAGTGGGTAAGTCTTGTGTCTTCCAATACTTTGCGATAAGTATCCTTGCTGCTGCTGTTGCATACATAAAGAAAGTTCTATCTTTCTTTGGCACCAATTGGCCAACAATGCCCAGGAGAAAGGCCTCTGGTTTCTTTAAGAAGGTATACTTAAATACCTTTTTCAACTCGTTATATATCCTTTCCCAGAAGGCCTTAATCTTTGGGCACGTCCACCAAAGGTGAAAGAATGTACCTTCAGTTTCATTACATTTCCAACATTTATTATCGGGCAAATGGTAGATTTTTGCAAGCTTGACTGGGGTCATGTACCACCTGTACACCATTTTCATTATATTCTCTTTTAAAGCATTACATGCTGTAAACTTCGTACCTGTGGTCCATAACCGTTCCCAGTCAGCAAACATAATGTTATGTCCAACATCCTGTGCCCATTTAATCATAGCAGATTTTACCGTTTCATCCTGAGTATTCCATTTTAGCAGCAAGTTATACATTCTTGAAAGTGTTTTAGTTTTGGGATCTAGCAGTTCTGTTTCCAACTTTGATTTTTCCACCTGGAAGCCAATTTTTCTATCCAAATTATAGACCTCTCTTATTTGGTAATAATGCAACCAGTCTCGCACTCTATCTTTTAGTTTTTCAAAACTCTGCAATTTGAATTTATCTCCTTCTTGTTCCAAGATCTCCCAATATTTTGGCCACTTGGCCTCCATATTGGACTTTTTCAGGGCCTTTGCCTCCATTGGTGATAGCCACCTTGGGGTTTTATTCTCCAATAAGTCTTTATATCTTATCCAGACATTGAACAATGCTTTCCTGACAATATGGTTTTTAAATATTTTGTGAGCTTTAACCTTGTCATACCACAAATATGCATGCCACCCAAACACATTATTGAAACCTTCTAAGTCCAAAACATCAGTATTTTCCAGAAGTAACCAATCCTTCAACCAGCAGAAAGCTGCTGATTCATAATAAAGTTTAAAGTCTGGCAGGGCAAATCCCCTCTTTCTTTAGCATCAGTCAATATTTTAAATTTTATCCTGGGCCTCTTGCCCTGCCAGACAAACTTAGAGATATCTCTCTGCCACTTCTTAAAACAATCCATTTTGTCTATTATTTGTATCGATTGAAACAAAAACAGCATTCTTGGCAATACATTCATCTTGATGACAGCAATTCGACCTAACAAGGAAAGCTTCAAATTTGTCCATATTTCTAAATCCTTTTTAATGTCCGACCAACACTTTTCATAATTGTCTTTAAATAAATTCCCATTTTTAGCTGTCATATGAATCCCCAAGTATTTCACTTTTTTACCACTGTTAAACCTATCTCATTCTGAAACCTCTCTTTTCAATCGGTGTTAAATTCTTCTCAAGTACTTTAGTTTTAAACTTATTCAGCTTAAAACCTGCCACCTGACCAAACTCTTGAATCAGTTCTAATGCTCTTTTCGTACTAGATTCTGGCTCCTGTAATGTCAGTACAAGGTCATCTGCAAATGCTTTCAGTTTGTATTGTTTCGCTCCGACCGTTATACCCTTAATCAAATGGTCCCTTCTTATCATATTTAACAAAACCTCCAGAACAGAAATAAAAAGTAATGGGGAAATTGGGCAGCCTTGTCGTGTCCCTTTCTCTATCTTAATTTCCTCTGTTATCACATTATTAACTATTAATTTAGCTTTTTGTTCTGAATAAATTGCATTTATACCATTTTCAAACTCTTGGCCTACCCCCATCCCCTGGAGATTTTTCTTCATAAAGCTCCAAGAAATATTATCAAAGGCTTTCTCTGCGTCCACAAAAATCAAAACTGCTTTAGTATTAATCTCCTCTTGCAGCTTCTCCAGAATATCAATTATATTCCTTGTATTGTCCGAAAGATGTCTATCTGGAAGAAAGCCAGCTTGGTCCTTATGAATCACTCCTTTTAGCACTTTTTAAGCCTTTTTGCTAAAATGTCAGCAAAAATTTTGTAATCCACATTTAACAGGGATATGGGCCGATAGTTCTTAAGCTGTGTCTTTTCAGTCTCAGACTTTGGTATAAGTGTAATAAATGCATCCTTCCACGACTCTGGCGCTCTTTTCCCTCTAAAATTTCATTGCAAACCTCAGTTAATGGTCTAATTAGCCAGTCTTTCAAAGTTCTGTAGTATTTTGAGGTTAAACCGTCCGGTCCTGGAGATTTTCCCAACTGCATATTCTGAATGGCACCTTCAACCTCCTGTTCTGTAATTTTATAATTCAGCAATATCTTGTTATCCTGAGAGATTTTTTGTAATCCATTGGTTTTCAGAAATTGCTCTATTTCAAATTCTTTCTGAGGCCCGCGAGCTTTTCAGTTTAGCCAGAATAAAAACAAAATCCACACAAGTATTCTTCATCTAACAGCTTGACAAGAAGGGAAGAACGTTTGGTAGAGACTTTGCTGTAAAGTTTGTGATACCTTATAATTTTTCTGTTAACGATGGAATTATATACTTAATTCTCTGAAGTATGAAGAAAACTTTATCACTGTCTTTGGACATGCCAAACAAATAGTAAATTTGCCGTCTTTGAAGTAGTGCTAGCAAGTTGGTATTTTTCAGGGAAATGAGGTTTTTTTTTTCATTTTAAAGTCGCAACATATGATGCAAAGCTGCCCACAATCGGGAGAATGAGAGCAAACATCTCTTGAATGGCTTTTAGTGATGATTCACTGCCTCCAATACTTCTGATTGATTACTTGTCTTCCCTTTTGTCTTCCTTCTCTTAACCACAAATAGTTATGGGTTTGGAAACCGATTTCACAAATGCTAGCCCCTTCCTTTGTGCAGAAGAAAGAGTGTTTATTTCCCAAGGTTTGTTAGTGGGTCCATTTCAGTTTTGTAGAGACACTCACATCTTTAATTCAGTTTGAAGTACGGTAATTTAGCTAAAAGAAGAAATGTATTGCAAAAGATATTCTGGCCCACACATACATTAGACCGAAAATGGACTGTGCATTATTATTCTATTACTTCAGATCTCTATGTTGGTTGTTCAGGGAGAACATTTCTCTCTCCCCCACCCCCAACTGCATTTAATTCTGGCAGCAATATTCATCGTTTTGTACTGGAAAGAGATAACTGTGGAGAAGACTATCTCGAAAGCTGCAAATTTAAAACACGGCATATAACAGCCGCAATAAAAGATCAGCCATAATTTAAATGCGAATAAATGGGAGGCAGATTATTAGTTGTGCCAAATAAAATGATGGCACACAAAGGAATATGATTATGATCCACTGCAGGCATTTTCTGCTTCAGCCTTGGATTTAGCATCCTCCCGCACCCCCCCCAAATGGCTCTGGGAGAACCCCCTAAGCGACACATCAAGGTGGGGG